CCATCCATCCATCCATCCATCCATCCATCCATCCACTCTATTTGTCTGTCTATTCATCAAATGAATTGAGCCAGGGAGCTCTCTTGCTCTCCCCCCCCACCCTCTGGACGGCTTTTGCAACTTCAAGAAACTCATTAGTTCATCTATGAAAAATCTTAACCTGCTGCTTTCTTATTTGTGGCACAGATTTTAAAAGCACAACCATGTTGCCTTTCCAGAAATTGCCCAGGTGAAATTACCTGGATCTGCTTTACTGGCCCTCTCAGAACCATTAGTACCGGGTATTTGCTTGTTGAATGTATGTATTTCCTTCAACTACTCAGGATGGCTTCCATGGGAGAAGCCCTTTATGGGAGATTATGATGAGAGCAGCCCTACCTGGCCAACTACACCAGAGAAACAGATTCCCAGTGATTTTCCCTGGATCTGTGTCAACGGATTTTTGTAAATATGTGTCGCCTCCAAATGTGATGATTTCATTTTAACCATTTAAAGCCTTAGTTATACAGATGCACTCGGTCCTACGCAGATTTATTCAAAGGCAACTTTGTTTCATCGGGACTGTTATTATAATTCATTTAAATTTATTATAGGCGTCCAATTCCATTAGGCTCTTCGAGAGACTTACGCCGCGGATTAGGCAGCGTGATTTTAGAAGCAGCTTCGTCTATGATCCAATAGTTTCAAATAAGTGTATTGGCTCTTGCGGTCAATCGCAGTCGCAAACTCGGCAAGCCAGAAGTGCCAGAGAATTCCGGCTGCATCGAATGGGGTTTTTCCAGAGTAAATACGAATATGGCATTGGAACCTAACGCGCAATGCCTGCTTGTTCCAAATTAAGTTCCATATGTTGGAGGAGGCAGGCTGCCAGGGAACTGGAGAACGGCAGAGCGCCTCGCCATTCCTCTCGCGGCGCGAAACCACTTAGCTAATTACTTCCCTTCCCTTGTTAGCTCAGCTGAGGCTCTGGCCGTTTCAGACGGGGCCAGGTCCAGAAGCCCATCAAAGGAGTGCCTTCGAGCTGGCGGCATAAACACCCTTCGCCTCTGCACTCAGTTAGGGGAAAGAAAACAGGGCAGCGCTTTCACTCCTCGAGGGAGCCTGTGCCCACCCAGTCCGCCTGTCACCCGGGAAGCAACCGTGGTGTGTGTGTGTGTGTGTGTGTGTGTGTGTCTGTGTGTCTGTGTGTGTGTCTGTGTATTAGAGGCATCTCTCCCCATCTCCCGCCCTTCTGGGCTGCTCCACAGAAGATCCTCCAAATCTTCCACCTTCCGGGGTTTCCCCACTTTGTAACGCGGCGGAGGGAGGGACCTCTGTGCTTTTTTTCTTCCGACAAAGAGAGCCGTCTGGTAAAGGAAGCAGAAGATAAATTTTCACTGAGGGCTAAGACTCAAAGGCTTGTGTAAGAAGCCTGCTGGGTTGATTTTCTTCCCGCCTGAGACCATTTTCTTTAAAGTCTACACTCCCCTCGCCATCACCTTCTCACTTCCTCAGATTTCTCTTCTGTCCAATGGAACAGAGGAAGTCGGACTGTAAGTCTTAGAAAGTGGCGGAGAGTTTGACCCGCTCTTGCCAGGGTAATTGTAAAACAAACAAACGAACACTAAAAAACAGGAGCTCGAGCTAGCGAGCATCCTTTAGTCTTGCACCAGTCACCCAATCTTCCTTCCAGGGGAACGGCTGAATTGTCATATTCCTGGCGAAGAAGGGAAGATGCCTAAACCCAGGAGAGAGAGAGAGAGAGAGAGAGAGAGAGAGAGAGAGAGGGGGAGGGGGGGGGGGGGAGAGAGAGAGAGAGAGAGAGAGAGAGAGAGAGAGAGAGAGGTTGGCCAGGTAGAGAAAAGAACAGGGTGCGCTTGTAAGCACAAACATCCGTTTACACGCGAAACAGAGCGATTTCCTGAGTCAACACCTCTTAGGGAAGCGCACACCTTCTCAAACTTCTTCTACCTTTCATTACTCTCTCTCATTTGGGGGGGGGGGGTCCTGGCAGGAGCCCGAAGGTACTCTCTTATGATTAGCGCACATAGCAAATCCAAACATCCTGGATGGAGCAGGTGTCCAAGCGCCAGACACGACTCCGCAGCTGCTAGACAATGACTAAGAGCCCTTTAAAGAGTGATGGATTGGGCCCTTGTAACTGTCCACGAGAGGTTTTTCCACCTCCTCGGCGGATATTGTCCTTTTCGCTCCGAATGCCAGGGGCTTAGAGAAGCAGCTGGAGATCAGCCGCGTAGAACGTGACCACTTCAACCCAGGAACAGAAGGGGAGGGGGGGAGGGCAGATTGGGAGGGGCCGGCCGGAGGACAGGGGAGAACCTGCCCGGGACTTCTGTAGCAAAGAGTCCAAGAGAGAGTGAGAGGAAGAACGAGCGAACGCTGCTGCCTAGTCCAGCCCTGCCCAGCCCTTGCCAATGCAATTCCCCATTAAGACAATCGATTCAGCCGTGGCGCTTGGCACCGAGAAGTGAATTACACTCAATCCCAGACATGCAGCCGTGACTGTCCAGGCTCTCCTAATTCCAGAGCTTTAGACAGGTGGGACGGGGAAACCCCCCAATCAATCTCCTGCGGGAGCACCAGGATCCTTCTTATGTCACTTTCCCAGCTAGGATGAAGGTAACTTCTCTCTCCGTTTTGCCCTCCATCATCATCAGACGACGGGCTGAGGCTACCCCGTTGGATCGGTTGAGAATGGTTCCACCCCGCCTCCTCCTCCAGACAAACCTTTCAAAAAGTAGAACGTGCTGAATAGCTTCCCCTCCCAAAGCAAGGATGGATCCAAAAATCAGCCTTGCTAGAAAGGAATCGGAATCCTGGCTTTGGGGGCGCTTTGTGAAGATTTGGCAAAAAACAGCTTTTCTTGAGGGGGTTACAGCAGCCTTCCCCCAACCAGGCACGTTTTTGATATTTTATTTATTTTTGTATTAGGCGACTCTGGGCGGCTTACCAAAAAAAAATATATCAATATATCATTGAAGCAATTAATACCCATATTTTGGATTCTCTCCGTAATTCCCCCTGGCCAAGGATTGGAAACTTGGAGGGGTGGGTGGATGGGGGCAATCCGATATATCTCCCCTAGTTGGGGAGATTGCTTTTGCTTTTCACCTCCTTGTTCTCCTCCTGTTGCCGTTTGGTTATCGCCGGGGCTGAAATAAATATTTACTGGCAGGAAAGAAGTCGTCAATTGCTCATTCATTTGTCCTGCGTTGCCTTCCCGGTGTGTCGGTCTCCCGATCTGACGGGCGCTGTGAGGGGGGATGCCCTTGGAGGCTGGAAGCCCTTTGGGTGTTGGGTGATTTGAACCCAGGTCCTCCAAAGGGATTGACTGAACGGGGTTACGAAATCCACGCGCTCCGATTTTCAGCGTTTGGGAATGCATTGGATGCATTTGCAACAGAACGTCAAGCCCTGGCATCAGCCGAGTAGGCTGAGAAGACGCTGCTTTCTCTGCGGCAAGGGGTTAAATGAGGAGCGGACAATTCCGCTGAGCTGAAATGAGCCGCTCCTACTCACCCGCACGCTTTACAAGGGACCATCTCTAGGTCCAAGTGCGGAAGTTCTCTGGTCACCCAGCCTTTTGCACTGCCTCCAAAATCCAGTGTTAACAAATGGGGCCTCGCAACAAAATGTGTCCAGGCAGCCCGAGCCTATGTCTCCTTAACTCGGTCAGTCCTCGCTGAAACCTTTCATATTTCCAAGGAGTTGCTGTCGGGCTAGCTGCCTTTTTTGTTTTTAAAGATAGTTAGATTCGGAACTGGAGAAGGGACACCTGCCAGGCAGAGCCGACTCTTTCAGCAACTCTCACCGCAAACCAGGGGTGAAATCCAAAAATTTTCCCTACTGGTTCTATGGACATGGCTTGGTGGCCGTGGCAGGGGAAGGATATTGCAAAATCTCCATTCCCACCCCATTCCAGGAGAAGGATACTGCAAAATCCCCATTCCCATCCCATTGTGGGGCCAGCCAGAGGTGGTATTTGCCACTACTCAAAATTTCTGCTACCGGTTCTCCAGAACCTGTTTGAACCTGCTGGATTTCACCCCTGCCACAAACCACCTTCCCATCCTGGCTCATTTTGGCTGGAACTGTTGCAAGTTTGTGATCTGATTCTGTCAGAATGTCAGAGAAGAATGTCTCTTCTAAAACAGACATTCCCCGCTTTCCTCCATATCCCGCGATGGTAGGAACCTTAAGCATCTTTACCTGGGCGTTGAATTCCGTTAGTCCCAATTCCGACTAATTAAGAGAAAGTTTAGGCTACACAGCATAGTAGATAGGAACCTATCAAGGCAGGTGCATTTAATATACGCTCCCCCCTCCCCCAAGGCTCTGTGTGGAGAGGAGACAGTGCGTCTCTCCCACTCAGGAACCAATAATTAAGGTTCAAAAAGGGATTGTCCACTGATCGCCACCTCGCACTGCTGGGGTCAATGCTAAGATGCAAAGTTGAGAAAGCATGTATGCCAAAGTCCTTTTTTTTTCTGCAATGCAGCACTTTTTGCAGTAGATGTCGCCTCTAATAAGTAAATATCCTGCCCTTTTTGAGTTTATTCATCAAAAAGATTCGGGAGATCTTGGAGGGATAAAAGACAATGGGGGAGGTCTAAATATTATTAATGACTTGGGGCGATCTCTCTTACATTTCATTAATCATTTTCTATGTCTCTTCCTGCCTCCCCCCCCCCAGTCGTTCAGTGACCTAAATGCAAATAAACCTATCGGATGTGCCTAAATGACTGGCATTTTTTTTGTGAATGGAATACTCAGTGACTGGGAATGACGTAATTCAGGAGTTGGGAGTTTTGTGGTCAGTCGTGGATTGGTTTTATAGTGATAAAGGAGATGCTGATTGGCGAGTCAGTGTTCGTTGAACGCCTACACATTTCTCTCCTGGTGATATGTATAAAAAGGGGTCATTGACCATTGAAGACCACCAGGACTCTGAAAATCACTCTGAGGAAACCTCCACTACGTTTTTCACTCTTCCTTAAGAAGGCTCGCATTTAAAGGTAAGCCCTTCTCTACTACTGGTAGCTCTGCTCCTCACAGCAACCATACAACTCCAGCAGCAGAAATCCTAGCCATGCTTTCTTTAATGTCTTACTGAGTCCAGGATGATTTACTCCCAGATCTGTAGAGAGTGTCGCAGCCTGAAAGCTGAGTGTCCTGCATTCCTCAGCTTTACATTTCAAGGATGCTAGGCTTCTTGTCTGGTTTATTGGAATAGACAGCGTAATTAATCCTTTCTAGATTTTTTTTTTTTTTTAAAAATAAGAATTAGCATTTCAACATGTTAGGGAATAAGAGGAAAATGTTCATCCTGAAAATTTTAAACAGAATTTCTTTGCAAATGAGAAAGCTTTTATTTTGCTGGAGATAACTCTTAAAGATGCATTTAATTTCAATGTGCGACTTACCTCATTTTTTTTAAAAAAGCATGGGTTGCCTTAAAGATTGGTCTAATCAAGGTAATATATATTAATTTAAAATATCTTTTAAAGCATCCTTGTGTCTCCATGCCCCTCCTTACTCCCTGAGACAGTAGTATCTCATAAGTATCCGGAACTTCCTTATAGACTTCTTTGTAAGAAATAGTCTAAATGAGGAAGAATTTAAGATGAACCTCTGGGAGTGTATGTGTGCCAGGCATATACAGAGGCTTTGGGGTCAGGGATGCACTGTAAAAAAGGCTGGAGATAGGAAAATTCAAGAATGTAAGAAATAGATATTTATAGAGATGCTATATATTCAACATTTTTAAAATGTTGAATATATGAAAATGCTTGAACCGAAGGGGAGGGGGACAAAGAAATCATATGTGTAAAAACAGCTTATAATTCTGTGTGCACAATTATTTTTCTATTTTACAAAATAAATAATATATTTATTTTCCAATACACAAATGACTCAAAGCCGATTTTACAGCATTGCCTTACCGCATTTTCAGAGGTCCACTTATTTTAGCTGTTGTTTTTATTTTTTACTTCAAAAACGAGACATAAATAGGAGGCGTCTCTCTTTTAAGCGTTAATACATCTTGCCATTTTGACTCGTTTCGTTCTATTTTTGGTTCTCCTCTCTTGGCACTGACGTTCTGAGTTCTTCTGCCCAGTTTCGATAGTCAATATAAGAACGCTGCCGAAGCCCTCAGAATTCCTAAATGGATATTAAGAGAGGGTAAATTCTCTGCAAATACTTCTTTTACGTGCATAATTAACAGATAATTTATTACCCTCAGAGAATTCTCACTCTAGACCAGCTTGGTCCTATTTATTATTTATTTATTAGTTTGATTTATATGCCGCCCTTCTCTGGAGACTCAGGGCGGCTTACAATGCAATAGCCTTAAATAGCCTTTTAAGCAATAGCCTTCATACTTTTGTATATACCTGCTTAGTAGGGCTTTTTGGCCTCCCCTAAGCGAGGTGTTCTATTTTATACCAAGTCAGCTTATTGCCCCCATAAACCGGGTCCTCATTTTACCTACCTCGAAAGGATGGAAGGCTGAGTCAACCTTGAGCCTGGTGAGAATTGAACTGGCAGTAATTGCAGGCAGCTGGCAGCTAAATACTACTTTAACAGTAGTTTAGTCCACTGCACCACCAGGCTCCTTTTTGCTATGCATAACCTTTGCCCGGGAAGGATGCATGGCTGTTTCTTGGACTTACCACAGCCAGCCATATGCTTTCTCCTTCAGAAGGGAATCCTTTAGGCACTTCAGTTGGGATGCTTGTGGATGGGATCGCAGCCCAGATAAGGCAGAGGGGAATAGGCAAGGCCGCAGAGGCTGCACTGTGGCTCCTCGGTGAAAACTGAGCCTTTCTTGCAGAGAGAGAGAGAAGAGACCATGGCTGTGCTGAAGATCTCCTCGCTCCTCGCCGTTTACGCTTTGGTGGCCTGCCAGATGGAGAACGGCCAGGCGGTCCCGCTCAGGTAAGAGGCAGCGGACTTACCTGCAGCTCTCGGGAGGAGAGTCTCGAAGTTCCCTCCCGGCGGGGGGCGCGAAGCGAAGAAAGTCCTCCTTTGACGGGATGGAGCTCGGTTAGGAGAGGGCAAAAGAAGAAGAAGGGTAACTTAGGGCGCTCGGCAGGCGCGGATTTGGCTCCGTGGGGACCCTTCGCCCCGGATTACCAATCAGCTTTTAGAGCCCCGCCCTTCTTCCTTCTTCTTCTTTTTTTTTTAAATTTCAAAAGCATCAGAGCTCCACCGCCACTTACCTCGCCCTCCGGGGCGGTGAGACCGAAAGTAGAAAGCGGAGTAGAGATTACGCAAGCATATGAGCAAAAGCAAGCAAGCAAGCAAGCAAAAGCGCAATCTGTGGCCGCCTTGTGATTTTCTTCCCCTGGCCAAGCAAAACGGATCGCCCGCACAGCCTTCCCCTTCGGAAGCCCCCTCCAGATACACGGGGCAACAGTATTTGTAACCCCCCCCGCACTCCCCAGCCTGTGTAACCCCTTGGTTGGGAGAGAGACGAGTCGCACTCCATGCCAACCCCCGGAGGGAGGAGGAGGCGGGGGGGGGGAGATGGCTGGCGGGCTCTGGCTGGAGAAGCCGCTCCCTCCCGCCCCTGATCCCCACCCAGGCTTCCCTGCAGCGCTTCTCCTCCCAGAAAAGCGGCACTTTCAGGGCGCGCTTGTCTTCACGCAGAGCGGGCTTCGAACCCGTCACCGACCGAGGCGCCCTGGGGGACTACGAAGCTCGGAGGTTACTCAACGCCCTGGTGAAAGAATACGTCCAGATGACCGCGGAAGACCCGGATCAGGGCAGCGAAGGCAGTAGGTAAGAAGCTTCCAAAGCACCGTTGCCTTCTTCCTCACGTCTCCCTCCCGGACGCCAAGGTTGGGGGGGGCGGGAGGGGAGCGAGCGCCCCCGTGGTGGCCGTCGAAGCAGACGGGCCTCGTTTGCTTCTCGAGGATGCCCTTCCTCGACATCCGACCGGGGGGAGGGGGCGCCTTGCAACCCACCTGGGGCGGGCGATCCGAGTGGTGCGCCTCGCTTCCCCGCTCGCCAACTTTACTGAAGTATATCCATTTATCCATTGACCGACCATGGATATACAACTTACGTATCTATGCGTGTGTGTATATATATATACACACACATATGGAAAGTCATACACAAGAAAGGCTACACAAGAAGTGCCAAAAGGAGGAGGGCTTTTGATATAATGGGAGAGCAAGAAGAAGGTAGGTCTTGGATTTCTTCCCTTTTGTCTCCCCCCCCCGGAACCTCTCACCCCACTTCTTTAAGAACCGAGCCCGCCGGACTCAGTGCCCGCGGAGGTGGGGGGGAGGGAGAGAGAGCGAGAGACAGACAGACAGACAGACAGGCGGCAGAGAGCGAGAAGGTCCTTTGACATTGGAGGAAGGAAAGAGATTCTTTGCACGTAGCGCCCCCTTTCCCTAACCAGGCTTCCAGCTGCACCTGCGGTTTCCTACTTGAACTCCCCTGGTGAAGCATGAGGAATGGTTGAGCCCCAGCGACGCATGCAATACCCCTCCCCACCCTGGAATTGCTAACAGTCGCAACGTCCCCCCCCTCCCCCATCCCCACTCCCTAACTCGTTTGCTTGACCGGGCAATGGCTCACTTGCGCCCCCTACCCGCTGCTCTGATGGTTCTTCCGATTGACATTGCATGGGGCTTGCGCCTCAAGGCACGGCGCCGAGATGGGCTTGTATTGAATATAAAAGGCTCGGGAGGAGTTTTTCTTTTCTTTCTTTTTTTTTTTTTGGGGGGGGGGGATGGGGGTGGAACGCGGGGAAGGGGGAGGGGTAAGGCATGACTACGCACGTCTTTTCTTCTTGCATTCCCTTTTTTCTCCCTCTCCCCGGTTACTTTGTTCGGCATGTTTTTCCCCCTTTGCAGCTTGGATAGACCTATTTCCAAACGTTGTGCCAACCTGAGCACTTGTGTGCTGGGCAAACTGTCTCAAGAATTGCACAAGTTGCAAACGTACCCTCGTACTGACGTCGGGGCTGGGACGCCTGGCAAGAAAAGGAATGTGTTGAATGAGCTGGAAAATGAACGCTATGCAAACTACTGAGGAAGCCCTCGGAAGCAACTAGATGGGCTCAGATTCCTCTTTGATTTTATTTCCTCCCCTCCCTCTTTTGTTTCCTTCTTTTATTTAACTTGATGCATGATGTGGATCTAACCTTCACTGCTAACTTTGCTGTGTTCTTTTAGATCTGAAGTGCTTGGAGTAGTAGAGCAAAGTCCAAGTTAGGAAATTAAGGACAAAATGCACACACACACCCTACACTGTTGGGGAAAAGCAGAAGCCAAATTCAGAGTAGATCAGAATAAAACGTTGCCTTGAATTTTCAACTGATTTTTTTTAGAGTCTTATTTTATGAATAACAAGGAAGCATCATTTTTTTATTTGAGGCTACTCATTGTAAAAAAAAATATGAAATAAATGTTTCTTTCATGCCCGATCATGCAACTGTTCAATAAACCTATTTTTCTATAAGGAATAGGTCTATGTTCTGATTACAAATTATTTATACCATTTTTAAAATGTGGGGTTTGTAGCAAAATTTGAAGAATTTTCATCCAGCTATAAAGAGGTCGGTATGGATGTTTGTAATTTTTTTTGCTTAATTAAGAGTATTTTGAAAGAGTTACATATCTGATTAGTATTGGATGAATCAGTAAGGTGATAACTTTCATACAATGAAGTCAGTGAAAAGGTTCACACTGAGTTTGATAGTATGAACTTTACAAATCTGTTCAGAAGTGTAGAAACACAACAACTGGTTTCCAAATGTGTGCAATGTTGTTCAGTTATAAAAGTTTTATTCTGTTTGACTTCGTCCAGGTAAGAATTTTAATCTTATATTTCTATGTATGTATTTGTTCATGAAGAAGTCACTTATTTTGATTGACTTGCCAGCCTGAAGATAATTTAATGCAAGAGAATCCAAAATTGCCTATAATTCAAACATTGACTTGTATTCGTTGTGGGAACAATGTAGGCCAAGTTAAATATTCAAATCGATGAGACTTTAAAAGCCTGATTTTGTGTCAGAGATGAGCAACAGAAAAACCAAGTTGAATCACACCCATGGTCAATCTGATATCAGATAAATATATCATATATCATTTAGACCAGGGCTGTCAAACTCCCAGCCCATGGGCTGGATGTGTCACACGCTGACGACGCCCCCACCGGGTTTAGTGAAGGGGGAAAAAGTCCCGGTACATCAATGTGATGCGAGTTTGACACCCTTGATTTAGACCATTCTGATAGCTTATATACCCAGAAAAGGCATTACATTAGGAAATGTAGACCCAGGAGATGAAGGCAACAGTCCTCATATGCAGTGGCGTTGACCAACCCTGATGCTACAGGACTGTGATCCTTGGAAATCCAGGGTTTGAACCCTCTTAGAAAAGGTGTAGGTTATCCTCCTCACAGTTCTGGATTTTGCTAGGTTGGGGAAGAATTTGCAATGATTGGGTTTTTCTACACTCTGGAGTCGGGTATGTTAAGAGAGTAGAAGTCTTTTCTAGGACTAGCACTGATGATATTACCTAGTTTGGTAATGAAACATCTACAAAAAAAAAAACACAAGCTCAGAGAGCACCAAGGACTCCCCAGAAGTCTTTTCCATTCACCATCACATAAAATTGCTCCTCCTCCTCCCAAAGATTGGCATTCTTGAGATTTTGCCAACAAGAGGCTGGGGAGAACGGGGATTAAACAGCGGGCAGCAGAATGCATTCTTTTATAAAACAAGGTGAGGTTCAAATCAGAAGCTTGCATCAAAGATCTTAACTCTAATTTATTTCTTTTCCTTTTTGAAAAAACAACAACAGCTTAACAGCACAAAAGAGAGCATGTAACACGGCAACATGTGTGACCCATCGTTTGGCAGATTTCCTGAACCGATCAGGAGGTGTGGGAAAGAACACATTTGTACCTACCAATGTCGGAGCTCATGCTTTTGGTAGGCGAAGAAGAAACGTACAAATCTAATCTGCTGAATGATTTCTGGGATATGGTAAGCATTAAATGATATTGGAATTCTATTTCCTGGGTGAATATGTTACATCTTAAAAGGATATTTAGTGTAGAGAGAAGATAGTAATGAGAATTTTTTTTAAAAAAAAATATATAACCTTTAGTTCAGACTTGCTGAACCTGATGTCCTCTCCGTGTACTGAACCTCAACTCCATAATTTCATTTCTGAGTGCTGAAATCCAATTTACATGAGCTCTGGCGTAGGGAAAGCTCTTTTAGTGGTATTACCAGAGCAGAATTGCTCCTTTTAAATAATTGAAAATGAGGGTTATGAAAACCAGCTATTCATTGTTGGACTAGGCTTTCTCCCTTATAATTGGATTTGGGATTGGAACCCAAATTATTTTTTTCACTTGGAAAAAGAGTGAATATTGTATTAGTAAATATGTCACTCCTAAACCAGCATTATTTTGATTCAGAGATCTTTGGCTTGTATAGCTTAAACACGTGTGCAGCGTTGTAACTTTGCCATTTTGTAATTTGATTTCCAATCCCTGCATTCATTTTATTGCCATTTTAAAATTTAGCAAATGGCTTGTGCAACTTCAGCCATTAGGATGTTTTGTTTATAGAGGCATTTCCTTCTTTTCTCTGAGCTCTGGAGTGCAGAAATGATTTTTGAGAAGCCGTCGCTTCATTTCCTTTTTAAGCCCAGGTGGAGCAGAGACCATGGTGGACATGAAGGAAGCTGTAATGCAGTGGTGGGACCTGCAGAAGTGGGATGAGATGTCCCCTTTGCCAAATTTGGCAGAAGTGAACCCACTTGTTTTCGTAGATACCTGCAGTTGGTCTGCTCTATGACCATTCGGACTGCAAGACAGAAATAGTCTCACTTAAATGTGGATTTATTTGTTTTTTTGGTAATTATGCAATCCTGTCTACTACAACTGCCCAATTATACCGTTTGGGAAGAGGCCTTCTTAAGAGAAATTGCTTATATGGAATAGAGCCAAACATTAATTTCTGACCCCTTTTAAAAACTTCTTTAAAACATATTAACTTTGCAAAACCTATGCCGTCCTTACCCCATGACAAGCTGATCCAGCTCTTCTTCATTGATTCAGTGGATTAGCCTATTTTAACTATGGAACATAATTAAAGAAGAGAGCGATAAGTCTAATGACCTGATAATTGCAAAGAAACGAAGAATGCATCTTTAAGCTTGTTTGTGTTTGTGTTTTTCAGATGCCATGAAACCGAGCAACGAACACCTTTTAATTTGTCTTGAAAGCAACTTCTTTTCATCATTCAGTATGGCTGAATAAATTATTCATTTTCGCATCCTTCCACTATTGAAGAAATGTTTTGTTTGAAAGTTAAATTAACTTAGGTTATATAATATATCTATATCTATATCAAATAATTATTCAATTATTGTATATTCTTTTGATAAGCAATTCTATTTCAAATAAAATGTGATAGCATCTATTTATTTATTTATCTTGTAGCATATCTGTGAAACTGATCCATGTTATTTATCTTGGCAATGCTGTATTGCCAAATCTCGGGGATTACACTAAATTGCTGCCTTTCAAGGTATATATGTGTAAGAGGCGGTGTGCTATGCCTTGATGTAAAACATTTAACTGACATGAGTGTATAATATGTTTAAAATACATTTACAATATTGTATTTATTTGTGAATTTATGCAAGATTAAAAAAAGTATTTTAGATACACATAGATTGAGAAATGGATCTTTTATTTAAATCTTTCTTAAAAGGGTATTCTGCAACTTTCTTTGAACCTGGTTCAAGAGAATTGAGATAAAGTCTAGTACAGAATTTGGGTTTTTCTATGAAATCGCTGGTGCAATAGGAAGGTAATAGACTAACATTTGAACGTACAAAATGAATAAACATACTTATTTTTGTAGAAACTTGCATACATGAAGTCAGATTTTTGATTCCATGTCTTCTCACCCTAAGAGTCTTAAACCTGCCTATAATTATTATGTGCTACCTGAAGACAAAGTGTTCTATAGAGATATAATATAGAGAAACCGGTAGTATTTATCTTCTGTATTGTGAGCATAGATTAACAAAGAGCAGCCTATGAAATATTGAAGGAAAATGCAGGCTTCCGTGATCAACTGTTAGCTAAAATCCTACTGTATATGCGTCTATCAAACTATGAAGTATTTTAATCATAAACTACATAGTAACTGCTGGACTTTACATTTGTATAAAAATATGCAGGTTGGTTGAAGCAAACATTTTCCATACTTGCCCCTTGATTTGGAATTTCCCACTTCTTCCATATGGGAATTAATGAAGGAAAAAGCTTCCTTCCCTAGTTAATTTCCATCATGTTAATTTGAGTGGGAAATTTAATATAAACAAAAAGCTTTGCAAGTAAAGTCCTTGCAGCAGCTCTTAGGTCAAGGGCTTTGCAAAACGGGTGGATTATCCACCACATCATAGTGTCTCAGTTTAGATTGCTTTGCTAATAAAACACCAATTCCTTCTCTTCTTCCTTTGCGCTCACAGCCTCTTGCAGTTTCAAATAATCTCTTGCCTCAAAATTTACTGCCTCGTGATTGGTTTAAAGCTCCATTCATTCCTTTTCATGCCAGGAAAACAGCAATGACACGCAAATTCATGAAACTTTCCATATTTTTACTAGGGAGGCAAGCATACTATGGATGGAAAGAAAGGGCTCTGGAACAACCTTGGTGGCGCAGCAGACTAAAGTGCTGTTAAGTAGCACCAGCTGCCTGCAATTACTGCGAGTTCAAATCTCACTAGGCTCAAGGTTGACTCAGCCTTCCATCCTTTCGAGGTAGGTAAAATGAGGACCCGGATTGTGGGGGCAATAAGCTGACTTTGTATAAAAAAGAACACCGCTTAGGGGGGCCCAAAAGCCCTATTAAGCAGGTATATACAAAAGTATGAAGGCTATTGCTTAACGCATTGTAAACCGCCCTGAGTCTCCGGAGAAGGGTGGCATATAAATCGAACTAATAAATAAATAGCACTTAGACTTATATATCGCTTCACAGTGCTTTACAGCCCTCTCTAAGTGGTTTTGCAGAGTCAGCATATTGCCCCCAAAAATCTGGGTCCTCATTTTACCGACCTTGAAAGGATGGATGGCTGAATCAACCTTGAGCCAGGAAGACTCAAACTGCTGAACTTCTGGCAGCTGGCAGTCAGCAGAAGTAGCCCACAGTACTGTATTCAAACCACTGTGCCACCACTGATAGTAAAACCGTTTCTATAAAAAATGAGGCGGTCCTGATTATCTACTGCACCCTGATTTTGCAGACTATAAGAGCTTGGGGTTAATTTACACAGTTCTCATCGGTGATTGTGAAAATACATCCCTATCTCTTCTCTCCTATGTTGCCTTTTTGCTTTCTCAATATCATCTACGGGTGGGACACTTGCACCAATCAGGGTACTGTCAAAGGAAGAGAAAATTCTTTTTTAAGTCACCATTTCAGATTTGCACCATTTCAGTTTTATGTAAATCACAAACCAAACCTATGTTATTAATATTTCTTAAACCTGCTTTGGAGGCAACAACCCCCCCCCAAGGATTTTTTAGATTGCATTAAGGCAAGTGATTGAAACTAAGAATTTTTGGATATATAGAAATGTTTAGTTTTTCTTTTCAAGTTGTCTCAATTCTATGGCTCATTGCTTCATAAAGTATCTCTTTTTTGGAGAATATCTCAATGAACTGTTCCTCATTTGTGTATAGTAATTAATACTTTCTGGGAAGAGAAAAAGCAGTTTGGTATTAGTGAAGTGTCTGTGGGCAGCAAATATTGTAATTGCTTGATGGATGGGCAGGTAAGAAAGGTGCATGAGATACAATACTAACAGAGGGCAAACACGGGAAGAGAAATTATTGTTCAAAGCAGTATCTCCACACTCAGACTTGTGCTCCCAAAAAGCTGCAAAGAGGCATAGATTTTAGACATTTTATCCTACAGGTGAACTGTGATGAATTATAAAACAAATAAATAAAAGTAAATACAAGCTAAAAAAGTATAAACAGAAAAAAAGTGTGAAAAGAAAGGAAAAAGAAACAGAAAAAGTAACTTCTTGCTTCACTTCCCTCTGATTAATTTTCATAGCTTATCACCATGTCTAAATTTAATATAATCTATATTCCCCCATGGTTCATCCCTTAAGTAAAAAACACTAATCCTTCTCAAACATTTCTTGTTAGCAAAAGTCCAGTAAGGGAAAGCAGATATACCTAATTCCCTCTTAGCCATAATCTGATGACAGAGACACTGTTTATATCCTGGGCTGGGAATTAGATTTAGTTGATCTTGTGCTGTCAGAGAGGAATAGTGGGTTTTCAGATCATACCAATACCAATTTAAGCAACAAATATAGAAAGGATAAAATAGGCAACATAGGAAAAGAAAAAGAAAAGAGTAGCGAAAAATTTTAAAAAATGGAAGTCCCACTATTTAGGTAACAGAAGGAAAATTTCTGGGGAATAAAACCTAAATCTGGCAAGCTACAATGCATTGTAATATGAATCCTTCCTTCCTTCCTTCCTTCCTTCCTTCCTTCCTTCCTTCCTTCCTTCCTTCCTTCCTCCCTCCCTCCCTCCCTCCCTCCCTCCCTCCCTCACAAGCATCTCTAAAGTCGTAAACTAAAGTTGTAGCCTTGCTGATTTAGGAATGTGTTCGGTGCTGCAATTTCATGTATTTTTTATTTAATATTGTAATTAATCTCACTGAGTTCAGTAGCACATTTCAAATTTAACATCCACAGGCTGTAATACATTCTAAATAAAATCAGTTTGACATAATTCATCAGTGATTCATTCAAAGACTCAAATTTATTCAAAGAGTTAAATGACAATCAGATCTTTTAATAAATGACATATGATAAACATTAAGAAATAAGGTTAGAGGAAATTCTCCATCATTTCTGCATCTGGTGAATATTTATTTATTTATAAAGTTTATATGGTTGCCCAACTCACTTTTGGTGACTCTGGTGACTTTCATTGTAATAAATTGTTAAAAGGACACCTAATTGATTGAGTTCATTTATTGATGAGAGCATAATCCTTAAAGCTCTTATATTTAGCATGGTAGGCTTATTTACAATTTCACAGCCGTTGATAGAGACATCACTGTAGGAACAGAAAAGAGTAGACACTGGTGAATAATTTCAGTTATTGGATTTTCGCTGCTGAAAATTGAATCAGGATTTCATACACAACAGGTTTTATAGTATATAAGAATAAATCCACTCCTGCCATTATGCCTTTATCTGTCTGCATACCTTCTCTATATTGTCAGGTCGATTGAATTTTCTCCCATTTTTGTGATTCTTGTTAACAAAGAAAATGAAGACAGTTGAGAGGAAAAACACCACAAGAACGGAGAATTTGAATAATTAGACAAGAGCATTTTGAAAGAATAGACATTCGTAGTTCCTTTGGTTGTGTGTATTCCAGCCAAAAGGCTAGAAAAGGTGAATTTAAGCTTGTTAAAACAGTCCTGATGAATCAGACTAAAGTTCAGCATGGGTTCAGCATACCAGATGCCTCTAAAAGAGGACATGAGGACTGAATGCCATTTTTGCTGTTTGGCAACTGGCATTAAGAAGCACATTACCTCTGCTTTTGTTCAAAGCCTACATCCAGTAGCCAGACTGAACCTCCAGGAAGGTTCTGAAAATTTACATTATAGTTCATCAGTGCTGCAACTGGACAAAATTCTGAGCCGGCTAAGCCTCCAATGTTAATTTGCAAAATTTATACACTCCTGATAGATTTGTATCCTTTTAAAGAACAAAAATGAGGAAAGAATAAAGAATACAGATTAACAGAGTTGGAAGGGACCTTGTAGGTCATCTAGTCCAATCCCCTGCCCAAGCAGGAAACCTACATTTCTGACAGATGGCAGACCAGTCTCTTCTTGAAAGCTTCCAGTCTGGCCTTACTTGCTACTGTCTCTCTTCATCCTTCATATGCTTAGCAGAAAACCTGAAAGAAAACTACATTCATGTTGAATGTGAGTAAAGTTATTTGGGTGATTTGAAAGCCAAACCATCAAGATCCCAAGCCAATTCAAGCTCACATTCAAGCTCAAATATTTACTTTCAGACCTTGTGCTTGGAGTTTGGAGAAAAGCGAGGATGGTGCCACATGCTTCTCCTTATTCTCTGCTCATTTTAAGTTTGCGGCACTTTTGATGACAGCTTAAACAGGACTTGGGGCTGAATCTGAAGCACCATGTAGCACCTGTCTGGCTTTGGTTGGACTTGGGTGCTAATTGAAGTGGAGACTGTCAGAAAATCTCTGGGTTGTAGGCTAGACCGAAAAGTAAAACAAAATAAAACCAACAACACAAAACAATAAAGTACCACATTCCTGGAAGGAGACAGTGGCATAACAGCTCGTTGCGCCCATGTAACACCTCTCCTACGCGAGCTGCACTGGCTCCTGGTGGTCTTCTGGGTGCGATTCAAGGTGTTAGTTATCACCTTTAAAGCACTCAATGGCTTAGGACCTGGATACCTACAAGATTGTCTTTTGCCACCAATAGCCTCCCACCGACCAGTTCGTTCTCACAGGGAGGGACTACTCAGGGTACCGTCAGTCAAATTATGCTGACTGGCGACTCCCAGGGGGAGGGCCTTCTCTGTGAGGGCTCCAACCCTTTGGAATGAACTGCCCCCTGAGATACGAAATATCCCTG